CCCTAACGCCCCCCTTGAAGAACTTCCACCAGTTCAAGATCAAGTCCCGACGGCCCCTTGAAGAAGGTGTTCATCATTCATCAACTGTTCGTCCAAGATCAAGCCTCGACGGCCCTTGGATCAACAACATTACATCCACACGTTTCAAAGATAGAATCAGAGGATAAATTTGTAGAAGAGATTGTAACCCATAAATCATTAATACAAATATTATTTTGTACACGTGTTCTTGTCTCATTCATCGTAGGAATTCCCGTGTTTACAAATTTGGCACGCCCAGTGGGACAGTCTCTACCTCTCATCTCTATCTTTGAATCCGCAACAAGCACAAATGGCGTCAAAGAAGGCCCAAGTTATTCTCGCTGCCAATGTAAGAAACAAGAGCGTCATCACGGCAGGGGGTGTCACTTCAGGCATCATAACTCGAAGCAAGGCAAAAGCTCTTTCTGCCGCCTCTTCCGCCCCTGCATCAACTCCGCCGAAGGCACAAGAGCACCCGAGTCACAAACCGGTGATCACCCTGGCCTCGCTCAGGGCGCCAAGAGAGGAAAGCCAGATGAAGTACTCTGAATCCTTACTTTCCGATGCCGACTCAAGTGGCGGCATAGCTATGCAAGTCATGGTTACTGGAGCGACTTCAATTGAGGAGCAGCTGGCTCAGATGAATGAAGCGATCGCAAAACTCACAAGGACTGTGGAGGACAAAGACCTGCAAATCGCAGCGCTCGTTAACCAACTAGATGCAAAGCCCGACGAGAAAGTCAGGCAAGGGGATGATCCAGTAAAGAAGGAAAACGACGAGGATGAGGAACCTCCAGTGGAGAACGTCGAAGAGACGCTGAAGCTAGACCAAGCGGCGACGCTCATGGGGTCTCTCTCTATCCAGCAGCTGCAGGAGATGATCGCCAACACCATCAAGGCGCAGTATGAAGGAAGCTCACATGATTCCGTACTATACTCAAAGCCCTACTCCAAGAAGATTGACGCTTTGAAGATGCCGATGGGTTATCAACCACCAAAGTTTATGCAGTTCGATGGAAAGAGGAACCCGAAGCAACATGTCGCCCTCTTCATTGAAACCTGCAGCAATGCTGGAACAGAGGGAGACTACCTCGTCAAGCAGTTCGTGCGCTCGCTGAAAAGCAACGCCTTTGACTGGTACACCGACCTCGAGCCCGAGTCTATCAACAGTTGGGATCAGCTAGAAAGGGAATTCCTCAACCGCTTCTACAGCACGCGCCGCACCGTAAGCATGCTGGAGCTGACTAGTACGAAACAGTGGAAGGAGGAACCCGTCATCGACTACATCAATAGATGGCGTTCATTAAGTCTGGATTGCAAAGATCGGCTTTCTGAAACCTCTGCCATTGAGATGTGTGTTCAAGGCATGCACTGGGGGTTACATTACATTCTCCAAGGCATAAAACCAAGAACGTTTGAGGAGCTGGCAACGCGTTCCCACGACATGGAGCTGAGTATCGCCAATCACGGAAAGAATGAGCCGATCACCCACTTCAAGAAGGATAAGGTGTTCGCCCCGAGTGTGGACAAGACGTCTTTGCTTGGACTTACAAGGAAATGCCCGGCCTTGACCCTGTCATCGTTGTGCATCATCTTGCAGTTAAGCCTGGAACGCGACCGATAAAGCAAACTCAAAGGCGTTATCGATCCGAGCTCATTCCACAAATCGAGGTAGAGATTGACAAGCTAATCGAAGCAGGCTTCATTCGAGAGGTGCAATACCCCAAGTGGATCTCCAACATCGTCATCGTCCTTAAGAAATCTGGACAAATACGTGTTTGTGTAGACTTCCGGGACCTCAATGACGCTTGCCCGAAAGATGACTTTCCCTTGCCGATCATCGAAATCATGGTGGACACAACCACTGGCCACGAGGCACTGTCGTTTATGGACGGCTCTTCTGGATACAATCAAATTCGTATGGCTCTCGAAGATGAGGAACTAATAGCATTCCGCACCCCAAAAGGTATCTACTGTTACAAGGTGATGCCCTTTGGTCTAAAGAACGCTGGAGCCACATATCAGCGAGCAATGCAGAAAATCTTCAATGACATGCTACACAAAAACGTAGAATGTTATGTAGACGACGTGGTGGTCAAAACAAAGAAAAGATCAGATCACTTGAAGGATTTACGAGTAGTGTTCGAAAGGCTGCGAAAATACAACCTCAAGATGAACCCGTTAAAGTGTACGTTTGGCATCACCTCTGGAAAGTTCCTCGGCTTCATTGTCAAGCACCGTGGCATTGAAGTGGACCAATCAAAGATCAAGGCCATTCAAAACATGCCCGAGCCAAGAAACCTGCACGAGCTGAAAGTCTACAAGGACGACTAGCCTTCATCAGACGCTTCATCTCCAACCTTGCAGGGCGTTGTTAACCGTTTAGTCGACTCATGAAAAAGGATGTTCCGTTCGTATGGGACGAACCGTGCCACAATGTTTTTGAAAGCATAAAAAAATATTTATCAAGTCCACCTGTCCTGTGGGCGCCTGTGCCCGGGAAACCACTCATATTGTACGTCGCCGCTCAGGAAAGTTCAGTGGGAGCACTCTTGGCACAGGAAAACGAATTCCAGAAAAAATGAACGCTTTACTACCTGAGTCGAACACTCACCGGCGCTGAGTTGAACTACTCCCCAATAGAAAAAATGTGCCTTGCCTTGGTGTTTGCCATCCAGAAGCTTAGACATTACATGCATGCTTACACCATCCACTTGGTTGCTAAAGCTGACCCGGTTAAATACGTCATGTCCAAGCCAGTTTTGACAGGGCGACTAGCTAAATGGGCATTGATTCTTAATCAATACGAGATCATTTACGTCCCAGCTAAAGCCGTCAAGGGACAAGCATTAGCAGACTTCCTTGCCGATCATCCAATCCCAGCCGATTGGAAAATCTCAGACGACTTCCCTGACGAGGAGGTATTCTACATTGACATATTCCCGAGATGGACGATGTTCTTCGACGGATCCGCACGAGCAGACGGAGCGGGGGCAGGAGTAGTATTCATGTCACCACAAAGGCAAATACTACCTTATTCATTCCAACTAAGCGAATTATGCTCCAACAACGTCGCTGAGTACCAAGCACTAATCATCGGGCTCCAAATGGCGATCAACATGGAAATCACAACCCTTGAGGTATATGGCGACTCCAAGCTCATAATTAGTCAACTCTTGACTGAATATGAGGTGAGGAAAGATGATCTCGTTCCGTACTTCCGACTGGCAACTTAGCTGCTACAAAAGTTCGAGGCCGTAACACTAGAACATGTGCCGAGAAAAGAAAATCAAATGGCAGACGCTCTCGCTAACCTAGCCTCGAGTATGACACTAGGAGAAGACGAAGCTGCAAATGTGCCAGTTTGCCAAAGATGGGTCATCCCCCTCGCCACCGAAATGCTACTAGATGATACAAATGTCATCTCGGTACTTCCAGTCGATGTTGAAGAATGGAGACAACCATTGATTGACTACTTAGAGTATGGAAAACTTCCAAATGATCCTAGACACCGCTCTGAAATACGTCGACGAGCACCTCGCTTCCTCTACTACAAAGAAACACTCTATCGACGCTCTTTCGAATGAGTACTTTTGAGATGCCTAGGTGAGGAAGAAGCCAATCAAGCCATGGAAGAAACACACTCAGACGTGTGCGGGGCGCATCAATCTGGGCCAAAGCTACATTTCCAGCTCAAGAGAATGGGTTACTACTGGCCAAGTATGGTGAAGGATTGCCTGGAATATGCCAAAAGGTGCCAAGCCTGCCAATTCCACGCCAACTTCATACATCAACCACCTGAACCATTACACCTTACAGCTGCTTCATGGCCATTCGATGCATGGAGATTGGACGTCGTGGGACCAATTACTCCAAAGTCATCTGCAGGAGAAGCTTACATCCTAGCTGCAACATATTACTTCTCCAAGTGGGCTGAAGCTATACCCCTAAGGGAAGTAAAAAAGGAAACTGTTGTCCGTTTCATCAAAGAGCATATCATCCACAGATATGGTGTGCCTCGCTACATTATCACTGACAATGGAAAACAGTTATCCAACCGACTTGTAGACGAGCTCTGTGAGAAATACAAGTTCAAGCAGCACAAGTCTTCCATGTATCATGCTCCGGCCAATGGTCTTGCAGAAGCATTCAACAAAACATTGTGCAACCTCTTAAAGAAAGTGATCGGCCGAACAAAGAGAGACTGGCACGAAAGAATAAGCGAAGCACTTTGGGCATATAGGACGACACATAGGACTTCTACCCAAGCTACCCCTTATTCTCTCGTATATGGCGTGGAAGCTGTTCTACCGCTAGAAAGTCAAATCCCCTCACTTAGGATGGCTATACAAGAAGGCTTGACTGATGAAGAGAATGCAAAGTTGCGCCTTCAAGAGTTGGAATCACTCGACGAAAGAAGGCTCGAAGCTCAACAACACTTGGAATGCTACCAAGCTCCGCTATCCAAGGCATTCAACAAGAAGGTCCGCCCAAGATCTTTCCAAACTGGAGATCTCGTCCTTGCATTACGAAGGCCTATCATCACAACTCACAAGACAAAAAGTAAGTTCACATCAAAGTGGGATGGACCGTACGTAATACAAGAGGTCTACACGAACGGCGCCTACTTAATCATGGCAGAAGACGGCTTGAAGATCGGTCCCATCAATGGCAGATTCTTGAAGCGTTACTACCCCTAAAAGGCGACGACCAGACTCCTAGCCTGCATGAGCCTAAACTGCACACGGCCTAAAGCTCCTGGCCCGCAAGAGCATAAACTGTGTACGGCAAAATCATCATCAAAATCACAAAAAAAAAAAAAAAAAAAAAAAAAAAAAAAAACAAAAATTTATCGCTCATTTGAACTACGTTATGACTTGATCTCTTCTTTGGGAGAGTACGTAGGCAACTTGAAACTTCAAAACTTCAAGTACAATCATATCATCATCAAAAAAAAAAAACACAAACACTTTGAAGAATAAAAAGCAAATTCAAAATATGAATACTTTATTTCTTTAAAGGAATGATTTGGTTACAAAGCCGTATTACAAAGGTGAGCATTACGCCAACGTCACCACCGAGGAAAGTTGTGACCAAAAGGCACTACACAGCATAAACTCGCTGCAGTCTTTTGCACAATCCCACAAGGTAAAGGTGACGCATTGGAACAAGCTCCAAGCAGCAGCGGCAAAGAGCCCATGGCAAGCAGCAAGGTCAATGTGCACGGCAACGTCCCCTACCGAGGAAAGTTGTGACCAAAAGGGCACTACACAATATAAACTTGCTGCAGTCTTTTGCACAACCCCATAAGGTAAAGGTGATGCATTGGAACAAGCTCCAAGCAGCAGCGGCAAAGAGCCCATGGCAAGCAGCAAGGTTAATGTGCACAGCGACGTCACCACTAAGGGAAAACTGTGACCAAAAGGCACTACACAGCGAAGCCTCACTGCAGTCTCTTGCACAACACCACACGGCAGCGCACCACCGAGGGAAAACTGTGATCAAAAGACACTACACAGCAAAACCACGCTGCAGTCTCTTGCCCAAGTACACCCACGTCCTGCTACCATGGCTCTAAAAGTTTCGTGAAGATCCTGGCGTCAAGCTCTGCCTTCTCAAGATTAAAGATTCCTGACATTATAAGCAAAGAAATCCATCAGTGGAGGCATACACGCATTGTGCATAAAAATATATATATATATATATCTATATATATATAATATAATAAAAAAAATCAACTTATATATATATATATACGTACGTACAACATGTCGGGTAACCGCAAACTCATCTGACCATATATATATGTGCATATGTACGTACGACATGTCAAAAAAAAAAAAAAAAAAAAAAAAATCCAAGATGGGACAACTAACCTCAGGGTTATATATATATATATAAATAAGTGTGTGCGGCTCCAAGCTATATATATGTATAAAGGCATGCTGTGTGCGGATAAATGCATGCTGCGTGCGGATCTGGGATATATATATATATATATGCACGGTGATGGGTTATACATATAAACAGACTCACGAAGTAAAAGCTGCATCCTGCCAGCCGACTGCCTTCTTCTTCCCGTCTGCAGCACTGGTCATCCCCTCCTCAACGCTTTGCATACCTTAAGCTCCAGCACCGAGACTCCCCTTGTCAAGCTCACTTCTGCAGCCTCAGACCACCGTCTCTGTCCACCAATGCGAAGCCAACCTGAACCCGTCGCTCGCCGTCAGGATCCGCATCCTACCTCCTCTCTGCTGCATTTCCTTCCAGCACCGAGCTCAGTAACAGCAAACGAGGATCCTCCAGATACAATAGGCGCACTGTTAGTAGCATGAGCAACAGAGGATGCTACATAAGAAAGCCCAGTCGACGAAGATGTAGAGCTGAAAAAGGTAGCAAATACAGAGACTTACCTGGTAGCAAACGCGAGGAATGCAGGAAGCAGTGCACGCAGTCGTGATTGCAGCCAAGCAGCAGCTGTGTAGTGAACATGCAATGCCCTATGTGTGTATGTGTGTACGTATGCCTATATATATATATATATATATATATATATACAACGATCTCAACAGTTGCAAAAGAAACCGATTCGCATGCGATGCAGTGACTGTGTAAACAGCAATCCGCATGCAGTGAAAAATGTGATAAGGTGACTGCGCAAGTACAAAGATGGTCCACACGCGAGAAGAACACAGTGCAGCGAGAAAGCCCACTGGGCAACCCAGCTGTACCATCTTTAAGTCACTACTTACAAGTGTATACTACTATTAGCAAGTCAATAAAAAAAAAAAAAAAGGTGGTGACGACAAAATCATTGAAAGATAGAAAAAAATGGGGAGGATGGTGCATCAGGCATCATCTAAAAGAGAGGTGATGGGATGGTGCATGGCGCCATTTTGAAAAAAAAAAAAAAAAAAAAAAAAAAAAAGGATTATATATATCAGCACCATGCGGAGGGCAAAGAAAATAAAGGTTTCAAAATGGGCATCATTACTTGAAAAAAATAATTGTTGTGTGGGTGTATATACGTGCCATGCATATTATAAGTCCCAACACTCTAACTCCCACACGTTCGTCCAAGTGGAGAGGAAAAGCAATAGCTCTGCTGTCAAAAAAAAAAAAAAGGAAGTAACACATCTATATGTTTTATTTGTACTTAGCACAATGCACGGAATAAAATAAGGCATGTCCATTAATATCTCCGAGAAAAAAAAAAGAAAGAAAGTAGAAAAAGCCTTCACGAATGTCACTTGTGTGAAGCCTCAGTACTTGGAGCCTTGGTACTCGGTGGAACCCTAAATGAGGGAGGCAGTGAAGATAGCTTATTCGGAGCCTCAATACTTTGTCGAACTCCAGATGACGAAGGCAAAAAGTGCCTCTAGAATACATCCACAAACTTCCGATGGTCACTTTGAATTCGACCTTCGGAGTCCATCAGCTGATCAAGCTTTCTCTTCATGCTCGTCGAATAACTATTTGCAAGCACATGCAACTCTCTATTCTCACGCCTGAGCTGGCTAATCTCTTGTCTAAGAGCTGCCACCTCGGCTGTCAATGATTCAACCTGGCGAGTTCGAGCAAGTAAGCGTTGGCCCATGTTGGAAACGGAGTTCGCACACTGGACACTGAGAGCCTGGGACTCTTGAACAGCTAACTCATCGGACCGTCGTGAAAGTATCCTATTATCTTTAGGAGTGATGAGGTTTCTAGCTACAACCGTAGCCGTTGTTGCATCCCTCATCACAGAGTCTTCAACTGTAAGAGGGCCATTAGAAAAAAAAAAAGACGGGCGCCATACATTACCCTGACGCGGTGCACCTGTGTCACTGCTAAGACTCAAATCTAAGCAAATGTTAAAAGGGGAAGCCATTTTCAAAAATACCAAAAGAAAAAGGTTGGATGAAGTAAAGAGTAGCAGAGATAATTTTTCACGGGCAGGCAATCTTCAAATTGTGCATGTTGAATACAATTGACACCTCTTTAAAAGGAGAGGCAGCACAACCATTCGTTCATAAATTGAAGAGACACCACTCTCCGAATTTCAAAACCCAGATTTTCCTGCATAAAGTCCGTCGACACTTTTCAGACACAATCTCAGCTTTCGACTATCACGTGCAACTTTGTCAGAGATCACTGACAAAGTTGAAAACGTGTGAAGTCCATTACGCCAACTATCGCATTTCTGCCGACAAGCGTGGGTGACAAGGCCATGCTCACCCTACCACTTGATGTTGAGAGCTCACCATATAATTCGACCTCCATTCTATAGCCAGACACACATCCAGCTTGACCCATCTTCCTTGCCGAAGGCATCTGCAACCAAAACTCAGTTTTCTTCCTCCCTGAAAACACATCCAGCCTGACCTTTCTTCCTTGCCGAAGACATTTGCAACCAAAACTCAGTTTTCTTCCTCCCTGAAAACACATCCAGCCTGACCTTTCTTCCTCGCCGAGGGCATCTGCAACCAAAACTCAGTTTTCTTCCTCCCTGGAAGCGCCTCTTCAACCAAGCCACACCAGAGTAAAGGTATCTCATATCACTGGGGTTGAGAGCAAGAGTATCTCATAGCATGCTTTCTCCCTATCCTTTTCTTTGTCCTCCCTCTTCACTGCGAAGACAAGGATAAAGAAAGCAATATGTCGGAACCTCCACTCAAGCTCCTGGTAAGGAACCGACTGCTTGGAACCTTTCCTGATTGCTCACCTAGCCGTGCTCTCGAATACCCATCGTCAACATCTTCTGCTTCCTCTTCGTCTACCACAGCTGCCTGGAAAACAGATGATGCAGGTGAAGATGATGCATCAAAGCATATGGAGACAGGCGCGACGAATGCATGTGCTGATCGTCCGCTACTTCTTCAAAAGCAAAAGTATCTCATATCACTGGGGTTGAAAGCAAAGGTATCTCATATCATGCTCTTCCCCCATCTTCTCCTCTGCCCTTGCTCTTGCCTGCAGAACAAGGAGAAAGGAAGCAATCAGTCGGAACCTGAAATTAAATATCCGACCAGGAGCTGATTGCCCGGAACCTTTGCCTGGTTACTTAACTAGCGTTGCTCTCGAGTGCTCATCTTCAACTGCTAATATGTCTTGAATTCCCTCAGCAAATGCTTCAAGAGTGTGGATCTGTTGACATCGGCTCTTTGCACTGAAGCTGCCAAGCATAAGTGAGTCGCTGAGAGGTGGTGCTCCGAGGAACCATTTAAAGGCAAAAGGTTGCACACCGCTTCAGCTATGCAAAAGAAACAAGCAGAGAAGAATGCAACACAACGAGCTGGAACAAATCATGAAGCACGAAGCCCTTCCCTACATGACCACATAATCCAGACGGAGGAGTTCAAGTAAAGATCCAAGCTGGACACCGTTGCTCTAACCCAAAAGGCTCGAGAAGCTTTAACGACCTTTCGCTGGCACCGTCACCGAAGAGCAAAGTCTCGGTAATCCTTAAAGATCAAGTCACCAACCGGAAGAAGAGCCCATCAATCTTGAAGATCATACTGTTGACCAAACTACTCAGGGTTCATATGAAAATGCTGCGAACTTCCTTGATCTTTCAAAGCATGCATGTCCTGAAACTGCTCGTGGTCATGTTTAAGTTCGAGATCAAGCCTCAACCACCCTGACTCAAGATCAAGTGTCCACCACCCTTGAGTCAAATCCAGTTCAAGATTAAGTCTGTGGAAAGTCCTTTGGAGGAAACCAGAAAACTCCTTCAGCCTAGTTCAAGATCAAAGCTGTGGAAAGTCAACAAGCACAACAAAATACGTGCCGATTCATCCATTATCAAAGCCAAGGATCGTCTACTACACGAAGCTCCTTGTGGTCCAATTTCATCCAAGATCAAGCCTCAACGGCCCTTGAAGAAATTTCAAACAAAATTCAAGAACAAGCCTTAACGGCACTTGAAGAAACTCCCAGACCAGTTCAAGATCAAGCCTCAACGGCCCTTGGGTCGACAACTGCATTAAGGGACTTCAAAATGCATCGTCTACATGTAACAAGCACATGTATACAACGCGCCTTGAAGTGGGGGCATTTGTAGACATTGAAATTTCGGTGGCATAAATGTTAGCCATTGCATTAAGATTACATTTGTAAACATTGAAATTTTAGTGTAATAAATGTTGACCATTGTATTAAAATTACAACCTTCATTCACTTCACCTACAACATCCACCAAAATTCACCTACAACATCCACCAAAACAAATGGATGGTGGTGATTCATTCCCAAAGCCTATAAATAGGCTCCTCCATCAAAGAATCAGGGGAGGATTTTACATACACTTTCTCTACTCCCAAATTGGAAGAGAATTCACACCACACCAAAGCCTTGAAGCCTCGAAACTCTGAAGCTCTCAAGAAAATCCCGAAGGACCAAGAAAACCCTCTTCGTTCTTCGTGAAATCCTCCTCCAAGGTCAAGCCCTAACGCCCCCCTTGAAGAACTTCCACCAGTTGAAGATCAAGCCCCGACGGCCCCTTGAAGAAGGTGTTCATCATTCATCAACTGTTCGTCCAAGATCAAGCCTCGACGGCCCTTGGATCAACAACACTACATCCACACGTTTCAAAGATAGAATCAGAGGATAAATTTGTAGAAGAGATTGTAACCCATAAATCATTAATACAAATATTATTTTGTACACGTGTTCTTGTCTCATTCATCGCAGGAATTCCCGTGTTTACAATGTCAACAATGCTTCTGGGAATTCAATATCAACTTAACTGCCCTCTGCACCACCTCAACAAGTTTGGATTATTGATACGGGTGCTACAAATCATATGACCACCGATTTGAATAATCTTTCTCTTACTACATCATATCCATCTCATGAGTCTATTCAAACAGCCAATGGTGAAGGTTTATCCATCTCTCACATTGGCTCTTCAACTCTTCAAACTCCACTGCAGTCATTTCAATTAAAATATGTTCTTTATGTTCCAAAGTTGACACAAAATATGCTATCTATCCATCGAATATGTTTGGATAATAATTGCTGGTTAATTTTTTATGCCTTTTGTTTCTGGATTCAGGACAAAACCACAGTGAGGATTTTGTACAAAGGGCAGTGTCGTAATGGGTTATATCTGATCATTTCTCCAACACATCCAGTTTCAACACAGAAGGCTTATATGGCTGCATATCTTGGACAGCAAGTTACATCAAGACTTTGGCATCACAAATTAGGTCATCTCTATAATACCATTGTATCTCAAATTCTTAGAAAATCAAATGTCTCTCATACCTCTGATTCTTTACCTATTGTTTGTTCTCCATGTCTCGAAGGAAAATTTAGTAAACTTCCCTTTCCCGTGTCTT